CGGGATCGGGCAGTGTTTCGTTCTGCTGTGCATGGGGTCGCTATGAGTCGGAAACGACTCGACGGCACTTAACAACAACAACAACAACAACAATCTTTACTGAAGCAGATCGCCGAGTCTTCCTTCTGTGGAGTGGCTGGTGGGTTTGAACCACTGACCTTCTGGTTAACAGTCAAATGCTTTAGACACTATGCCACCAGAAGTCCTGCTTTTACTGTTAGTCATTTTAAAATTCTTCTAGTCTCCACCCATCACTTAATTCCAAAACCACTTCCACATTATACACATTTGTTAGAGCAGCACCACACAGTAACAATTTCTGTCTTAGTTATCTAGTTCCACTATAACAGAAATATCACAAGTGAATGGCTTTAACAAACAGAAGTTTATTTTCTCACAGTTTAGCAAGCTAGAAGTCTGAATTTCGGGTGCTGGCTTTAGGGGAAGGCTTTCTCTCTCTGTCAGCTCTGGAGGCAGGTCCTTGTCTCTTTTCAGCTTCAATTTCTGGGCAATCTTCATGTGGCTGGCATCTGATTTGCTTGTTTAAACTCTTTTATATCTCAAAAGAGATTGACTCAAGATATACCCTACACTAATCCTGCCTCATTAACATAACAAATAGAAGTCACTCTTAAATGGAATTATAATCATGGGCATAAAGGTTAGGATTTCCAACACATGGGTTTTGGGGACATAATCCATAACAATTCAGTTTTATACATGTAAAATCCTTAATGCCATCTACCAAACATTGTTAGTATTGGCACCTAATCCCTTTGACAAAGATGTGAAAAAGACACAGTCTCTAACCTTTAAAAGGATTAGGCTGACACATGAGAATGATGCAAAAAAGATTACAATATGATGAGGAAAACTCAACAATAATGATAGAGAGAGGTACCAAGAGAAGAGCGTAAAATCATTAGAGGACTAGTTTGGGAATAAAGAGTATACTTTGTTGACATGGAAGTAATGTTTATAACTCTTAAAATTCCCTGATCCTGCTCATTATTAAACCATGGTTTGTTCTCTCCTTCCATTGGTTTGCTTTTTTAATGTACAGAATCATAAAGTGAATCACTAACTTTTAATATGAGAAATTATACTAGTGGTTATCTATCAAGTAGTTCAGAAACTAGGACTATGGGTGGGTTTCATAGGGTTTGTGAGCTCCCAAAGATAAGCCATATTGTTGCATATGTGCATTTTTCTTCCTGCAGAGAAGTTTGACATAATTCATAACTCTCAAGTATGTCTTTGTTGTTGTTGTTAGCCAGCATGTGTGAGAGTCCATCACTGCAGCAACTGTGCCAAACCATTTCACCAAGTGTCTCCTCATTTGCCCTCTACTTCACCAAACATACCTCCCCCAAGAGACTGATTTCTCCTGATGACATATCCACAGCAAGCAAGTTGGACAATGTCCTGTTGTGGTCCATAATATTTTCATTGGCTAATTTTTAGAAATAGATTTCTAAGACTTTCTTCCTAGTCTGTTGTAGTCTGGAACCTGTCCATCCTGGGTGACCCTCCTGGTATTTGCAGTACTGGTGGCATAGCTTCCACTATCATAGCAACATATAAGCCCCTTATAAAACATGTAAGTACAACAAACTGACAGACAGGTGGTAGAAATGTGTTTTCAACCTTCTTCAAATGAAAGACTGATGAGAACAAATGTGCAGTGCAGTATGTGTAATTTACTTTTTGTAATAATGGGTCAAAAGGCTCATCTTTGTGTCTAAGAGCACATCTTTACAGTTCTCCGATAAAACATTATAATAATTCTTTACTGTCTTTGCTTGTATACACCTTCCTTCTCTACCTCCTCTACCCTATGAATTTATTCAGAGCAAAACTTTGTTTTGTTTCCAGTTATTCTTGCAACAAACTTCCACTGAGCTTCTTCTACATGGAAGGTATAGTGGAAAGAGGTACGAAATGAGACAGACAGTGGTCCCTGATCTTGAGATATTTCCTGTCTGATATTCCTATTACAATAGCTATTGAATTTAATTGAACTAGATAATAAAGATATTGTTTAAATTTGTTAAATAGAACAGTTGTTTGCAAGTCAGAATTTTAATTTTTCATCCTGAAAGCTAATGATAATGAATTATTTGATTTATTGGAAGAAATTATACAGTTATTTTGCTTAAAACTGTGTTCAGCAGGGATAAGTGAAGAAAGACACAAAGATAACATATCAGTCTGGAGCGTCATTGTTTCACTTTATGCATTATAATTAATAACTCTTCAAGCAACATTTGCAAAGCATTAAGAAGCTGTTTCATCCTGTTGTTTGCCATTTACAGGGACCACCGACAGCTTGCAGTTAGAAAGCAGTGGCAATACACGAGGCATTTCTTACCATCTGCATCTAAATTTAGCTGGTAGGGTTTGATATACATAACAATATCCCTATTAAAAGTAATAGTCATGTTTTCACAGTTCCTTGGAATAACTTATTTCCCCAATAGTTTTATCTGCTTGTATTTTGGCAAAAAGTTAAATATTTCAATGCGGATAGTCCATGGGGGTACAACCAAGATTCATTTTTGTGTCTTTAAGAATTTGTAGTTAAGTCAGAACAAGTACATACAGTTCTTAAGCTTTACTTTAGTGTAAGAAAAGGCTGAAAGGCTTTTCAATGATTTAAAACCTGCATGTGCAGCAAGTGAAGGTAATTGTGATGAAGGATTTGTTGTGAGTAGTGGTATGTTCAGTCCTTTCAAAATGAGGTCAAATTTACATAATATTAAAGCGCAAATAGGAGCTGTGTGTTGTTATGTGCTGTCGAGTCAGATCTGACTCATAGCAACCCCTTCTTGGGTTTCTGAGGTGGTATCACTATGAAAGTAGATTGCCCAACCTTTCTTCCAAGAAGTGGCTGGTGGGTTTGAACCCCCAGCCTTCTGTTAGCAGTCAAGTGCCTTAAGCACGATGCTACCAGAAAGGAGCTGTGTGTAGGTCAGACATTGGTAACCTGGGGACTATCTGTAATACATTTTCAGATAAATATATAAAGCTTGTATTACATGTTTAAGCTAATCTGTGTCCTGCCTCCTGCACACACAACACACACACACACACACAAACTATTGTGAAGAAAAACGCACTTATAAAGTTATATATATATATATATAAAACGTATAACCTATAATGTATAACATATAACATATCTGGGCCATCAAATGGATTCTGACTCATAGTAAACCTATCGGACAGAATAGAATTGCCCATACAGTTTCCAAGGCTGTAAAACTTTACAGAAGCAGACTACCTCATCTTTCTCCCATGAAATGGCTGGTGGCTCAACCTGCTGACTTTTTGGTAGGCAGTGAATAATTACTGCACCAGCAGAGCTCCTTCATAAACTTCCAGTAAACAAAAAATTCCCTCTTATAATTTTTACCCTCCCACATATAAACAAATTCACACACAAAAAATTATATCTTCTTGATGAAAACAACTTGAATGATCTGAGAAGATATTGATGGATAACATCAGTAATAATTGCTATAAAATTTGACAGATATATGCCTTTCCTTAATTATCATGTAGTAAATACATAACCAAAGGTTAGATTTTTTTTTTTTTTAAAGACTTGAATATTGACAGCCATAAAGTTTAAGATTTTTCATCTCAGGAATTTTCTTAAGTCAATGACAAATAGCCTGAGGTTAACTTCTAGAAGAGGAAGACAAGTTAGTAGTTCTTACGTTTGGTGATCTCCAAGCGGTCTCTGTCCAATGGACTTTAACAAGGGCTCTGGTAGGATTGCTACCTTTGGTGATGTTTTGGGGCTAGAGTCCGATTCTCCACTCTCTTCATCTCCCATGGCTTTAATGTAACTCCCACTTCTCATTCTCCTGCAGGGTATTTCCTCATCTTTACCACCAGTTGGGTACCCTCCCCATTCATCTTGAGGTACCTAGGACAGAACAGATATACAACATGAATCAATCTTGTCATTTAGAATTTTATAAAGTGAGTCTTTTGGGAAACTAATTATCCATAATTCCTGGAAGTCAATTATGGTCAATTATCATTTAAAGTAAGATCCACAAAGATAGGTATTTCCTGGCGTTTTGTCATTCAAATCTTAAACAACATTAAAATATTTGTTTCTTTCCTACTATAAAAGTGATAAACATTATGGGAAATGTTAGGAAAGTAGAAGAAGAAAAACCCACTTGTAAACTCTGCAGCTAGAAAAAAAACAACTACTAACATTTATAACATTTGGATTTATTTCCATCTAGTATAAAAGCATGTAGTGGTTAAAGCATTTAGCTGTTAACCAGAAGGTTGATGGCTCAAAGCGATGAGCTTTTCCATGTAAGAAAGATGAGGGAGCTTCTATAAAGATTTACAACCCTGGAAACCCAATGGATATTGATCTTTATGCATTCCATTTCGCTTTTGATTACTTCAAAATTTTCATAACTTTACACTCTATACATTCAATATTCTGATTATTATTATATTCTGATTATTATTAATGGATGTTTTGCAGCTGTTTCTTCTAATAATGAGTCATGCCACATCAGCAAAAGGAGGTCCCAAAACTTTACTCCATCCATATCATTAAGGTTACTTTAGGGAGGTAGCTCTTTCCCAGTTTTTGAGTGCCTTCCAATTGGAGAAGCTCATCTGAAGTACTATATTAGACAATGTTCTGCTGCTATTCATAAAGTTCTCAGTGGCCAATTTTAAGAAGGAGATCACAAGGTTTTTCTTTCTAATCTGTCTAGTTGGGAAGTGCCACTGAAACCTGTCCATGATAGGTGATCCTGCTTCTTTTGGAAATACTGGTGGCATAGATTCCAGCATCACAGCACCACACAAGCCACCCAAATATAATGAACTGACAGACAAGTGATGGGAACTATAAATGCGTGTTATATATAGCCAGCAGAAGTTCCGCACATAAAACTTACTCAATAATTTTAAGTGCAGGCTAAAACATAAAGATGATAAAGCAGGTAAATATTTTTGTATTCACCAATCACACATAAACGTAGGTCCCTACATTACAACAAACAAAAAAATCATGGAATTTGCGTAAGAAGTTGTTTCCAACATTTCTATGCTCGTTAGGACATAGATTTCCTTTCATAGTTGTCCATCAGCCTGACCAGCCATGTGGAGGCACTGGATAAAGTTGACTCCACAGGTCATATTCACATCTTCATATTCACATATTCACAAAGGCAAAATAAAAACCATGATGAAACAGCTTAATGTAGAGAACTCTAAATCTATGTAACATGCCTACACAATCAGTTCATGAATAAAATGACTTAATACACTAAGTTCTGAGTATTGGAGAAGAGAAATCTCTAAAAATTTTACTGCAATTAACTTGCTATTTAAATAGAAAGAAAATGACAGAATTCCATATTTTAAAAAATCTTCAGAGTAGATGTTTTCCCAATTGTAAAATATTTGTACATTTATGTATATTCTTTATATATGATCTTAAAAAGTTTACACAACTTTGCTTGCTGAAAATGAAAAAGACTTGAAGCACATACAGATAAAGATCAGAGACTAGAGCCTTCAGTATGGATTACATCTCAACATAATGAAAACAAAAATTCTCACAACTGGGGTTCTGGTAAGGTGGTGGAATAGGCAAACTACACAGACCCTCTTCAACAAACAAAAGGGGACCCAATTAATACAAATACAGAAGATAATCCTGGAGCCCTGAGCTTTGAAAGGAAGGATATAGAAGTAGACTAAACTCCAATTAGTAGAAGAACCTGCATGAAAACACCAAAAAAGGAGATATACAGAACTGTGGTCTTTCAGTAATCCTGACAGCAAGGACCGCTTGGATTTTGTCAGGTGATATTGTTGTTGTTGTTGTCGTTATTTGCCGTCGAGTCGGCCCCGACTCATAGCGACCCCTCCTTGGGTTTCCGAGGCAGTATCACTACGGAAGTAGGATTGCCCAACCT